CCCTTTCTTTACCGACCCATCCAGCCACCATCAACAACCAAAACATGCCCACTCACATACCCACTCGCCCGACTCGCAAGGTACACCGACGTGCCCTTGAAATCCTCAGGCGTACCCCAACGTCCCGCGGGGATTCTCGCGCTGATGCTAGCGAGGCGCTCCTTATCGTTCAACAGCGCCGTGTTCATCTCCGTCTCAATGTACCCCGGCGCGATGGCGTTGACGGTGATGCCCTTGGCCGTCCACTCGTTGGCGAAGGACTTTGTCAGCTGGCCGACGGCGCCCTTGGACGCGGCGTAGGCGGGCACGGTGAAGCCGCCTTGGAAGGTGAGGAGGGAGGCGTAGTTGATGACGGAGCCTTTGCGGCCGGTTGTCGGGTGCGGGGCGAGGTTGAGCATGTGGGCTCCTACGTCGCGGGTGATTGTGAAGACGGAGGTGAGGTTGACTTGCATGACCTGTTTTGGAGTGTGTCAGTTCAACATTCTTCACTATGCTCGGTACGCGTCTCTATGTAGTAAGTAGTAGCAAAAACTCACGGCGTTAAAGTCCTCATCGGGGAACTTCTCACACGGATGCCTCTTTTGGATACCCGCGCAGTTGACGAGAATGCGAATCTCGTGGCCGTCCTTGAGGACCTTGGGCACCAGCGCGGCGACGCTCTCCTGCGAGCTGAGGTCGGCCGTGTAGATTGTGGCCTTGCGGCCGAGCTTCTCGATGGCCTGCTTTGTGGACTGGGAGGACTCGTCGCGCTGGACGAGGAGGATGTCTGCGCCGGCCTCGGCGAGGCCTACGGCTACGGCGGCGCCGATGCCGCGGGTGCCGCCTGTTACGAGGGCTGTTTGGCCTTCGAGGGAGAAGAAGGAGGAGGCCATTTTGGGGGCAGTTGTGTGTGTAATAATGAGAGAGAAGAGGTGATAGACAGATAGATAGAGACTGTGTGAGTGTGTGAGGTTGTGTCTTGCGGTGGAAGGGTATCACGAAAGTAAGGAGAAGCTACGGGAAGATGAACAGCTTGGGAAGATGCGTGTGGAGGGAGCTATATGAATGGGGAGCTTTTTGAAGTGAGTGGACTTTGATTGGGCGAGGTCGGAGCAGAAATGTCAAGACGCAATTCAGTACTTCATGGAGGAACGGATAAAAGATCATCAAGCTTGTAAAGGTACTCCTTTCCCCGGCGAAACGGACAAGCTTTTGGGAGATGGGCAAGCTAAGCTAACCTTCTGTTACCGAATGATCCCCGGTACGAAGCCCGCCTGCAGCGTTTTCTACAGGCCATTGACTTCGGACAGCATGAGACTTCTTGAATCTGATTTGGAACACTTGCTCACGGGACATGCAAAAAAGTGAGGAAAGTAAAAAAATGTACTTGTGACGCCGTAGGACAGAAGCCATTGACGCGGGGCAAGGCGCGGCGTGGGAGTCTCACGATTCAAGCTGGAGAGAGGTGCGGGGCATTTCCCGTCGTCTCGATTGTACCTTGGTACCTGATGTACTCGATACTTCTTCCTTTTTCTACCCCTCCATTGCAAGGGTTCAGGGGCATCTCCAATCGCGGCCATCTGACGTCGTTTTTTCGTGCCTGGGCCATTAAATTCCGACTTTATGTTTTCTTCAACCAGCCTTTGGCACTCATCGCAATGCCGTGGAAGACTCGAAGAATCCAACTACAGCATATCACATCTTTTGCAACATGAGAGACCAGGAGTAATTAGCATTGAGGCGTCGAGAATGACTTGGGGGCGAAAGCGAAGGTAATGAATACCTGACAGCAGTACATAGACTCGGGCCGGTACCCCCACGTAAGAAACGCTAGGTGACGGTAAAGTGGGATTAGTCGCTGGCCTTCTCCCCGCACGTCGGAGAAGAACGAAAAAAAGTCACGATGGGTGGGGAAGAGGAGAAGAACACGAAAGAGAGGAAAAAAAGTCTCTGGCTCAAACTGAAAGCATGAGGATAGGAAAGAACCCGAGTCTTCTGCGAATCACCGATGCTGTAATTGTCAATTCTCGATTGCCCTCGGGCTGTCTTGCCATCCCTCTTCGACGGGATTGCCCAGTTGTATCTGTCCCTTTTCTTAGCTTTTTCCGGGGTATAAAAGTCGTAGGTACTCTGCACTACCTATGGAAAGTAGGAGAAAGATACGTAGCGTCCGCCTTAGGACAGAATTGCCGTGTTTGGCCTCCGCGGCCGTTTTCTCCAACCCCGCGACGGGATCCCCTCTGACTTTTCGGCGTGTATTGCCCATATTGGATGGGGGTCACTTTCACCACCACTTGTATGAGTTGAGTAAGGGTCCATAACCCGCGGGTATCATAGGAAGAAACTGAGAGGCTGACTTGACAATTGGCAATTGGGATTGCCCCTCCCCCTCTTTCCACCCGCGCCCCCTCCACTCGTTCCATGGTCCATCAAGATTTCATCCCGCAACATCCCCCATTGAGCCAATCCACGATGCGCCTCGTCTTTGAAGGCGGACGCGGCATTCTTTCCGGCAAAAAGCTCAAACTTGACCATGTATTCGTACTTTCGTAAGTTACCTAGTCATGTTGACCGGTTGCCTTTTCGCTCTAAATCTCCACAACTCCACACGAACCGTGTGTCCAGCAATGCTTTCTCAAAGCAAGAATATCCATTCCGTGTTAGTCTTCCCCCTCTTTTCAGCACTGTCCAACTGTCGCAAGTGTCATCATCTCGTACCTGGTACTCGATACACTTGGTGACTGGCCTGCAACGGCGAGCATCTTAGAAGCTCGCCCCTGATTCTCCAAGGTTCCAGTAGCTTTGGAGGCTGGCTATGTAACTTGACACTTGAATCTAATGATGGATATTTCGGCGTACTTGTACTCGAGCCGAGTCGAGAATTCCTCACTCGGCTATAGATTAAAACTAGCAGCTTCCCAGGTCGTCGGCTTGCTTGGTAGGAGTAGCTCGGTGCTTCCCCCCACCGACCAAGTCTCTCTCGTAACCCGCATTTCCGTTTTGCATCACACGCCTCCGCCGATTCGCGTCCACCCCTAGTAGCTTGACTTAAGTCGCGTTTTCCGATCCGTCGATATCGGACTTGTGTTTGACCATACGTACCTTGCCTTGCCTTGACCTGCTCTGCGCTGCTCTGCTCTTGACCAAAAAGTAAAAGCATGCTCATAACTGGCCGTCCTGCCCACTTTCTCAACAGCTTCCAATTTCTTGGAACCACTTTCGCACTTACATACCCCTTGCTCTTCACAACATCGTCGTAGCTTTCTTCTTCCCTCTCCAAATCACTTCTACATCTCACCCAGCAGTAAGAGTACATAGCCCACCATGTCAAGTGTCCAAGTCCAGACCTCCGTCCTTCACGGCGCGAGGGACCTCAAGATCGTAAGTCCAACAACCACTCAGGAAGCGCCGAGAATCCCAGGCAGACGCACCGTCAAACGCAAGATCTAACTCAGAGCGACAGGAACAAAGACAGCTCCCCGCCCTCGCGCCAGGCGAAGTCCAAGTCGCCGTAAAGGCCACCGGCCTCTGCGGCTCCGACCTGCACTACTACAACCACTTCCGCAACGGCGACATCCTCGTGCGGGAACCCTTAACCCTCGGTCACGAGTCCAGCGGCGTCGTCACCGCCGTCGCCTCGGACGTCTCTAACCTCGCCGTCGGCGACCACGTCGCCCTCGAGGTCGGCCAGCCCTGCGAGGCCTGCGAGCTCTGCGCCGCGGGCCGCTACAACATTTGCAAGGGCATGAAGTTCCGCAGCTCCGCGAAGGCGTTCCCGCATGCCCAGGGCACCCTTCAGGAGCTGGTGAATCACCCGGCAAAGTGGTGTCACAAGTAAGTGCCGGCGCAAACTACTTGGAGCTTTCTCGTGAGGTGTAAAGGTATGCTAACCTCTGACCTCAAAAAAAAAACAGGCTCCCCTCAGAAGTCTCCCTCGAATTCGGCGCCCTCGCCGAGCCCCTCTCCGTGGCAATGCACGCCCGCGACCGCGGCAACCTCCCCAGCAACTCGACCGTCCTCGTCTTCGGCGCCGGCGCCGTGGGTTTGCTCTGCGCCGCCGTGAGCAAAGCCGACCAGCAGCGCGTCGTCATCGCCGACATCCAGGCGGACCGCGTGCAGTTCGCGCTCGACAACGGCTTCGCCGACGCCGGCGTCGTCGTCCCCGCGCAGCGCCCGCAGACCATCGAGGATAAGCTTGCGTACGCGCAGAGCGTCGCGGAGCTGGTCAAGAAGGCCGAGATCGGAGGGGCGGCGGTGGGCGAGGTGAATGCGACGTATGAGTGTACCGGCGTCGAGACGTGCATGCAGACTGCCATCTTTGTGAGTTGTTTCTTATTCGCGAGATACCCACTCTCGGAGGCCGAGGTATACATACTGACAAGTGGTTCTTTCAGTCCACACGCCCAGGCGGCAAGATCCTCATCATCGGCATGGGCACCCCGATCCAGACGCTGCCCATCTCGGCGGCGGCGCTGCGCGAGGTTGATTTCGTCGGCGTGTTCCGGTACGCCAACACGTACCCCAAGGCCATCGACCTTATCGCCACGAAACCAAAGGGCCTGCCCGCGCTCGAGAAGCTGTTTACGCACCGGTACAAGGGGTTGAGCACCATCAAGGACGCGTTTGACATGGCGGCCAAAGTTAAGGACGAGAGCGGGAATCTGGTGCTCAAGGTTTTGGTGGATACGTCGAATTAGAGAAGTGATAGCGACTATAAACAAATAAATAAAAAAGTGATGATTTTCAGTTACATTTTGGGAGAGCCGTGTTTGGGTGATTGATCGTTGTGTGCAATGTGAAGTTTGGTGTTATTTCACCGAGGCAGTTGGGACATAGAGAACAACCCGGGGCAATGACAAGTACGAACACATCCAACGCAAACATGTGCCTCACAGAACGCCCGTCATTCAGACAAGTTTTTTTTTCCACCACAATCAGTGGGGCAGTTTCTGTAGACGAGAATACGCTTTAAATCATTCTATTTCTTCGCTCTATTTATCTGATAAAAAGGACAAAGGAATCTACGACTTATCCGGGAATCCAAAGTCGATACCAAACGGCGGGTACACATAGCGCTTCAGCTCCTTCTTGGCCGTCAAATCGTCAGAGTACGCCCGCAGCTCCTTCAGATCCTCATCATCGAGCTTAACAATCTCCAAATTGGACTTGATCCGGCTCTCCGTCACCGACTTTGCAATCACGGTGCTGCCGCGCGCGACGTGGTAGCTCAACAGGACGGTACCGGCGCTGACGCCGCGCTTCTCGGCAATCTTGACGACGGGCGCCGCGGTCAGCAGGGGGCCACCCGTGGAGCCGAGCGGGCTGTAGGCCATGATGTGAATGCCCTTCTCCTTGCAGTAGTCGACGATCTCCTGCTGGGGCAGGCTCGGGTGGTTCTCGATCTGGTTGACGGCGGGCACGACCTTGGCCTGCGGGAGGAGCTCTTCGAGGTATTTGACGCTGTAGTTGCAGACGCCGATGGAGCGGACCTTGCCCGTGTCGAGGAGCTTCTCGACCGACTTCCAGGTGTCGACGTGGGAGTGGCTGTGGATGATGTCGCGGGAGCCGTCGGGCTTGGTGGGGAACCTGTCGTGGTTGCCGTTGGGGTTCATTGCGACGGGCCAGTGCTGTTTGTTGTCAGTCTCTTTCTCTCTTCTTGATATGTTAGTCAGGAATGTGAGTGAGGGAAACCTACGACGAGGAAGAGGTCGACGTAGTCGAGACCCAGGCTCTTCAAGCTCTTCTCCAGGCCCTCCTTGACCTTGTCGTCGCCAATGGTGTAGGTGGCCCACAGCTTGGTGACGACAAAGATGTCCTCGCGCTTGACGCCGTTGGCGAAAGCCTCCTTGAGGCCGGCACCGACCTCATCTTCGTTGGCGTAGCAGTAGGCGCCGTCAATGGCCTTGTAGCCGACTGAGAGGGAGTAGGAGACGGCCTTTGTGACCTCGCCAGGGGCGGATTGCCAGGTACCTTTTGTGTTGGACGATGACGTTAGTTGTGGGTTCTTCTCATGGTGTTTCCGTCTAGAAGAATGGGTCTTTTGAGTGATGAGGTTTGCATACCAAGAGCCACAGCGGGGATCTCGTATCCCGAGTTCAACTTGAAAGTCTGGGAAGCCATCTTGACTATTGCTGAGTGGATGTAATGTCTACTGAGGAGGGGTTGGCGATGTTGATGTTGCGACAACTTCTGGATGAGAATGCGGGGGCGGGGTAATTTGATGTGGGAGAGCGTTCTGGAGAGTAGAACAAGCATACAACTCTTGACTCGGGAGTAAGAGAAGGGGGGGTAAAAAATCAATGGAAAGGAGAAACGTCACTCGGGATAAGAAAGGGACAGAGGGGGTGGGTGTGTGATCTCGGTATATATATCGACGAAGAGAGCAACAAGAGCCAAGGAGAGAGACTATCAGGGTGATGTGTCGCGATCAGAAAAGGCCGGGTAAATGCTAGACGATGTGCCTCCCCCTCCACCTCCCTCTTCACCTCTGGCCAGAAAAGGTACATAATTACATGGCCAACTACCTGAGGAAGTACAGACGGATCTTGATTTGCCCATCACCTGTGACGCTCCTCCTTTGGTCCTCAGCTCCCTGAAAGTGAAGTAAAGCTCGCCGGCGGGGAAGGGCAAGAGCTGCCTGGGCTGTCCCTCTTTCGTGTGGATTTCCCCAGTTTGTCAAGTCACTGCCAGAAACCCCGTAAACTGTACGGGGTAGGTAATACCTGGTGTTACAACAGTACCGACTACCACAGATCCTACGGGATCCCTTCTCCCATTGGTGGGCCTTGTGTTACCATTTATGGATTAATTCTCTGGGTCGTCGGAGCAGCTCTCGGGTTTTGTTGGGCCGAGTCATGAAAAGTGCCAAGTTTGGTTTGCTTGGAGCGTGTTAGTGACAATAGCGTGGGGAGCCTCTTGTTTTTTTTTTCCCCTTTCTCATAGCGGCCGGTTTCCGGCGGGGGGCTGGGACGGTTCAAAGTGCGGGCAAAGTTCCCGGAACCAAGCCCGAGGTCCGGGCGCTTGGCCGCATCACTCTGACCCCGTCCCTCTCCCCCATTACCTCACCTCACTCAGAGTCTGAGGTACTTTAAGCCGGGGGTTCCTGACGTTAGTCGGCATACTGCCTACCCTGCCGATTCGTAGGTATCCTGTACCTTCTGCTTGCTCTGCTCCTCCACCCCCACGTTCATCCACACGCTGGTGCAGTGGTGCTGGCGTCCGATTCTAAAGCCTGAGGGGAGCCAAGGTACATACTTCGTGGGGCCGCCAATGCTTCGCCGAAGTTAACCTCTTTTGTGATTAATAGATCTAGATTTATGCAAGGAAGAAAGCTCTATAGCTGCGCTGCGTCCGCGTCCGCGTCCGTCCCCGTCCCAGCGTCAATGTCATGATACAACTTAAGGGTGCTGATATTACACAACTCAACGCCATCCATCTCCTGCTGAATGAGCACTTTGAGTTCCGCCCCAATCCTCCGAACCGCCGTTCGTTGCCCTCGTTATCGTCACACACTGCTAACCGGCAATGAGGACCCAAAGTCTGTGGGGTGAGTTAGTGACAAAACCCCCAATCTTGAGGCGAAGCTGATGTGGAACGTACAGGAAGAAAATCATGAGTACACCAAACATTTTCTATCCATTTCTGTCAGTAAACGTGAACAGGATTCGTCGCATCGGAATGTCCATCACCGACGATGAGGAGGGGCACGACATACAGCAATGAGCCATCTGTTGCTGGAAACACGACCCCAATACTTGAGAAGTTCTGCGGACAAAAGAATTAGATACCCATGCGGACGCCTGTGTGACTGTAGCACGGAGCCTGCGGGAACTCACCTCTTTGTGCTCCTTGCACGTTGTCGACAACGTCTTCCGTGTTTGCATCGATGCGCTGGATCATCTCGCTCTGCTCCGAAACCATGGTCGCCAGCTGACCAAAGATCTGTGTATCCTCCTGTCAGCCCATGCTGTCCTAGTATCGTGGCAAACCACCAAAACTTACAGATCCAAGCTCCGCGATAGTGGATTCGATGCTTTCAATAGCAGCACCTCTCTCCTGGATATATGTGTTTTGCGGTTGCGCCTCTTCCATCATGAGAAGCTGCTGATCTCCTGGCGGATTCAGCGACAGCAGATCTGCGCCTGGGGACGGCGTCCCCCGTTGGGGTGTTCCGTACAGCGGCGATGCTGATTGTTGGAGAGGTGGTTGCGTGTGCTGGGAAACGCTCGAAATGAACTGTAGAGACATAAACTCATATCAGCATAGGTCCATCTCTACGGAAATCAGGACTGGAGCGCACGTTATCAGTCCTGGACCTTGAGGCCTGGATGTTCTTGGTTCTCTCCTCCAGGACATCCTTGAAGTTGGCCGACACGTCCGTCAGCTTGCCTTGCAGCATAAAGACGACATTCTTGTTGTGTTCTCCCTCTTGGTCAGCCTTTGGATGTTGCTGCTTTGTTAGGACCTGAAGGCCTCCAATCTGCTGGTTCAGGGCGCTCAAATCTTGCTTGATGATGTATGTGAGCTCGTTGATCTCGACTGGTCGGTCGTCAAACAGGGTTCTGCGCCGCGCCACTGTGGAAAGAGTTCTTGTCAGCGCCATGCCATGATTATTGCAGAACATCCCTTGGGACCCAAAGGCATACATGTTGCCAGCTTCTCCAACTTTGCCATTGTGCCCGAAATTCCTCTCCCGATTTGCGCCGCCTGGCGCGCAAAATCGGAGCGCCGGGGTCGCGAGTCGCCATCGCTTGCGGCTTTCTGGGAGTCGGTGAGGAGTGATCGTCGTTGAGCGCCGACCTTGCTGGAAGCCTGTCGACGTTGCGCTTGAGCGAGGACCGATTTGAACTCGGCGGTTCGGTCCTGTATCGATGCGACCGCCATCGTGGAATAGCGTCTGAGACGGGGCCGACTTCGGAATCCGGACTACGAGTTTCTTGGGCGTGGCGGCCAGCGCGTTCGAGATCGTTGAGGGGTTCTTTGAGTGCGGAAGAGTTGTCGTCGAGCTGGGTTTGGCGATAGAGGTGGATAGTCAGGGATGGGAAATGAGCTGTGTCAAATTGACGGACGGGCACTTTTGGGAGCGTGGCAGTGACTGCGGGCTGGCAAAGAAAGGCTAAAGTATTGTTGTACAATGCGCGCGAGCGTTGGGTATAGTTGGGAAGATGGATCGATTACAGCGCCGGGTTCTGAAGTTGGCGATAGGGCGAAGAAGTATCGAGGAATCAATCTGGAAAAAAAAGTCGAGCTGGAGAGTTGTTAGTTGAGGCAAACGAGCGTCGTGGCCGAGTTCCAGGTCCGGGGCGTCCAGGTCCAAGTCGAGATTCATTGGCGCAGCGCTGCAGTCAGTGGACTGGTTCTGCGGGAGCGACGGGGCCAGGGTGTCCGATACCTAGGTACATACATTTCCCACGGAGAGTAACTTCAACCTGTCCTCCGCCCATCCCTTCAGGAGCGCATTCCATCCCCGGGCCTGGACTGTGGCCATTGTGCAACCGCCATCGCTGGGAGCTTTGGGGCTTGGGAGTGTGGCTCGTGGCCCGATGTAGAGTTGTGCATGCACCGCCACACCCAAGAGTGGCACGCCTCATTACCTGCATATCACCTCTCACTTTCACACAGGTGCGCTGCGAGGCGAGTAAGGTACTTCGAGGTACGTGTACCTGCTTGGAGGAATCCTCGGGTCTGCCCGCGCTGGAGACTCCAGCCGACATCAGCCAACCTGTACTTCGAACCTTACTTCGGGTGCCTCGAGGTACATGATGGAGATAGATGCGAACGCAGCAAAGAAGAAACATGTCTTGTGAATGTCACTCGGGAAGTGCTCATCTGAATGCATGACGTGAAGAGTGCAAACATGGGGTATTTCTATCTCGATGTGCCTTTGACTTGTACCTCAAGTGAGGTTATTCCACGTTTAAACCGCAAGCTATGGGTTGTCACTTACAGGAAGAAGGCGCACCTTACACAGTAATTACCAGGTAACTTGCTGCACTGCGCCGTTGGGAGACGCCAATGGGGCCCGGCTGACTGTGTTCCACAGCATTTCTGATGCATGGTACGGAGCATGGTACCTATTCAAGTTTTCAAGTCAATCAGCTTCAGACCGAGCGCAACTGTAATTGTTACACTCGCATCACTCACCTTAGACTCAATCAAAGCTGCAATGACGAAACTTTGCCTTGTGGTGTACGAGTCTCTTGCATGCACAACCTACTCTCTCACAAGGCGTACGAGTCCATTCAAGACGCAGGAGACCGTCACCCACGCACTCAAGCGGACAGCACTTTGAGAAACAACAACTTCCAAGGCTCAAGCCACACCAGCCTGACTAGGCGGCCGTTTACGAAATATCCCTGTTCTTGGTGATCCAGTCGGTGGCATCCTCGAGCTTCCATTGGAAAACACCCCCAGTTCGTTCCCCTCTTTTTCAGCACGTCCAACGGGTCTGTCCTTCAAGGGTGGCATTGGTGGTCAAAGTAGTTTCCCGCCTTTGCGTTGCTGATGATTGACATTCCAATGCGACAGCGCTGGGATAGCCCGGCATGAATTGTGCAGCTCTGCTGATGAGATGTTCCCGCACCGAGAAGGCAGAAACAAAAAAGCACCACAGTCTAGTGAGTCCATAGGCAAGAAGAGGGCGAGGCACCATACCTAGGCAGTGGTGGCAGTACGAAGTATCGCGTGGGCTGGGGCTGGGTCGCGCTGCTACCTCATCATCAAAAGGTACGACAAAAGATACATCAGCCCAAGCCTTCCCCGCCACTACAGCACATGTACCTCATGTCCTTGCGTAGCCCGCCCCAAGCCACGTCCCCCCCGACTTCCCAACTTCCCAAGCCCCCAAATTATCATCCCGTCTTTCTTTGGGTTCCCCGTCGCCCATCACCCATCTCCAGCGAGATTCGGGCCTTGTCAGACTGCCGACCTTCATCATTATCAGCCCAGTTCCTGTCTCTGTGCCCCGACAGAACGTGACGATTCCTTGGCCTCTTAGGACGCGTCTGTCTTCCTTCCAATTCTCGTTGTCGTTTCAACTTGGGAGCTCATCTTCGTGCTCCTCATCCCATCCGAAAGTTCGCACTGGGCCGGAGCCAGCGTCGCAACGTCTCTGGCCACCC